TGGTCCCTAGGCCTCTAATCATGCGCATGGCCCTCCTTTGGACTCTCTTAAGCTTCTCCACATCCTTCCTGAAGTGCAATGCCCAGAACTGGACGCAGTACTCCAGCTGCGGTCTCACCAAGGCCGAGTAGAGCAGGAGGATGACATCCTTAGCCTTGCTCAAGATGCCTCGGTAGATGCATGCCAGTGTTTGATTAGCTCTGCCAGCTACAGCATCGCATTGGTGGCTCATGTTCATTGTGTTGTCAATCATGACACCCAGGTCTCGTTCAGCTGTGGTGCTGGCAAGCAGAGCACTGCGAAGCCTGTAAGCGTGTTGTGGATAATTTCTCCCCAGATGGAGCACTTTACATTTCTCCGTATTAAACGACATCAAGTTGAGGTCCACCCAGTGCTGACATGGTTAGGATCCTCACGAAGCGTGAATGTGTGTGCTTCCACTGAAATGGGGAACAAATAAGGACTCACAAGTGTATGCTTTAGCTAGGAGGAAATGGGGCAGGTTTGCACTGACACATGGGGTCTCAGGCAGCCAGCATTTTGCAAATGCCAATAATGTATTAAACAAGTGAGGGGTCAAGACTGAATTTCTACACTATAAAAACTTAAAGCCCAGCCAAGCTTCCCTGGCAACAGTTTTCCATCTACATTACATTCTGTAGTGCACTGGTTTCACATCTCTCTTCACATCTCTCTTCTTCAGATAAAGCTTTATTAGTGTTTTCATAAGGTTTAACAGGAACATGCACCTGTAGTGCCTACAATTTAACATTCAAAATGTAGCCTGTACAACTGAAAAATGTCGTCTTTTCATTTGTTTTGCATACACACTTATAAATTAATAGGAAGTCTGTAAAGTAATTGGAAATGCTATTACAAAGGCAGTATATTTTTTAGGAAGAGAAAAGTACAGACTATGTGAAGGATGAATCCTTTCTGGTAAATCAAACACACACTAATAGCTCATATAAATGCATCAAGTACAATGCTTGGAAATGAAATATTCTGGCCTTTTCACAGAACCACAGCATCTCACCCTATAATTTAAGTACTACCTGGTTGGTTTTTACAGTAAAGTCACAATTACCGTGGCAAGCAATACCAACTGCCAACTTCCAAGCCCGCCTCTGAAGCCAGGAACAGGTTTTTTTCATGTTAAGCCAGCATGTCTAGGACCTTGAGGCTTGCAGTTACTTGTTCCTCTACACATAGGAATTAAAGATTAACATTAGGATTAGTTAGGATGGAGCATCAGGAGGACTCTGGACACCGCCACGGCGGTGGTGGAAGTGCCAGCAGCGGCACCCGCTGCCGAGTACCCCCTGAGGCCATCCCAAGTACCCCCAGTTGAAAACCCCCGATGTAAGCAATAAATATATCCACCGACTTGTTCCTCTGAGCACAGCTTAATTAATTTTATAAGTTATTGGTACTAAATATTGATCCCACTGTTGATACCAGGACCCAATATTTCCCTAGCAGACCCTCAGGATCCTGCCTCTTAGGAGCTGGTCTTAGTAAAGCATTTAATAAAAACCTAACTCTGCACCTGCCAGAAGTAATGAGTTTTCTCGTGAATTTTAAAAGAAGCTGAATCAGGCCCTCAAGTGGAAAGGAAGGAGAAAAGTTATTTCATGCATACTTTCAGGGCTTAGTAATCCTACCTCAGCACCTCTCTCCACCCAGAAGGCATTAATGTTTCTTTATTTAAAGTATTAATGAAGTTTTTCCAAGTTAAAACCAAGAAAGAGATGGTCTCTGACTTACAGCTGGCAAAGCAAGAGCAAGAAAGATTCACAAGTCAGCCAGGCTGCAGTTCACCTAAGGAAAACTCTCTCATCACAGAAGTTAAGAGAAGTGGCAAGCTGGGCCCAAATTACCTTTCAACTACAACACAGACCTCGGTGAAGTCTCAATGCGGGAGGAATCTTGCAAGTGTCGCTCTGGGACCCGTGTCCCGTCCCCCCGCCCAGCAAAATACCCTGCATACACAAGTACCATGACAAGCACAGGATTTTCTGCCCCTACTCCCGTTCCCCCCACCCCGAGTCTAGAGTCCCTCTCATATAGACCAGTCTGGCAAAACCTCAGGCAGACGATATGCTTTTATCCAGATGAACGTGTTCACTTCAGACAAGAAAAGGTCTGAATTTAGCAATTTTAATCTGTCTATTCGCAGACTAATGAGCAATTATTTCTTCCCATGGTTTAAATGCAATCGATTTGAATTCACTGCTCTGAATTTGTTAATTCACTGGTCAATTAACGAACTCTAAGGAATGGGCTTTATCATCTGAGCTATTAAGAGGTGGTAGTGTGGATAGAGAAGTTACCCACTCCCAAGAAGGCAAGAGAGCTGAAGCAAAGACCACCCCTGGACAATTCTCAAGCTTGGGGGCTGGAACTACGCGTATCCCTACTGAAAAGCTTCACAGCCAATAATGATGAGCTCAGGGGCCTCCACTGGTTTCTCTTCTGGAACCACTGACTCTCCAATCAGTAAGTGTCAAGGGAAGTATCAAGAGACTAGCAAACAGCCTTACTTGGTAGCAAATACATAAGCTATGACCCCCTTCTAGCGCTCAGCCTGCAGCACACCCCACAGCCAGCCATGGGAAAGCCTCAAGAGGTGGGTTAATAGTTGTGCAAGCTGCAGGTAAAGCTCCAGAGAACACCCCTTGGGGGGGATGTTGCAACACCTCTTTCCAAAGATCTCCATTACAATTAATCCCTTCCCTTTATACAGCACTGAGCACCAGCTGCTGCATTTCAGATTACTAACTCTAGACTTTCCCCTGTGCATATAAAGGTTAAATTTCATTGCAGAATTATCAGTACTCAAAATCAGCGCAAATTTGCTTAGTGCATGCTCTAATTAAGAGCAGTGTTTACAGACAGCATTACAGAAGCGGGCTGGGCTGTTACAGGACTCGTGCTGCTTTCAAAATGCTCTGGTTTCCAGTTCCTTGTACTAACTCGACTATTTGCCAAGGCAGCTAATCAGTGCAGGCAGGGCAACAGTCTGAACTTAATGCATGCGTGACCTACATTAAACCAAATGACAGGCCATACACCAAATGAGCAGCAAGGCATGGACACTACAGATCTAAGTGCTAGAATCTCAACATCCTTCTTGCACTATGCTTTCCATCCCTTGCTCTCACTCAAGGCCTGTTTCACATATAAACTAGGCGCCATCTTCCTGAGCCAGTTCTCAGCAACAAGCCTGGCAGTGGCAGGGCAAAAACTGAGCCAAAGCCTCACTGACAATTGATGGATATTTCACCAAAGAATAGATTTGGTACTGCCTTATTATATAAGTGCTCTTTTTCTTTCACTGAGCAGAGGCCAATTTAAATTAGTTGAAAGTCCTGCTGCTTGAGCTGTACAGGTGCTGACAGATGTGGGGAAAAAAAAAACCCAAAAAACCCCACCCCACATTTTACTGGAAGCAGCCGTGCATTACTTCAACACAGCTCTACCGTATCTGTATAGATCGGGCACTTCACCAGGGCTTTTCAGCACTTTTCTCTAATAGCCGATTGAATCAGCTATTAGGAAAAAGTGCCAAAAAGCCCCACTAATGCATCTGATCTATACAGGCATTGGAAAAGCCAACTCCAACTAATGCGATGCTTCTTCTAGGCATCTGCTGGGCTTAGCACAAAAGCACGCAGAGTTTAAAGTAAAGTGCCGTTCCCCAACCCATGTCTGCAAACAGCCTTTAGAGCATAAGTCCTTTGGGGCACAAATTTTTCAGTCAACAAGTAGGGAAGCACAAAGGAAGTCCATTCCCATGCAGAGAAAAAGGTAATAGAAGAGCTGGGAAGCCCTCCTGGCTAAACAGGGAAATCACGGTCCTCTTAAGAGGCTTACAAACAATGGAAGCTCGGGGCACACCCCAAAGAGGACTATACAATGACGGGCTGCATTTGCAGGGAACAGATGAGAAAGGCTAAAGCGGTGACCGAACAGAAATCAAGGACAACAAGAAGTCCTTCGTTAGGTACATAGGGAACAGGAGGAAAACAAATGGGAGTGCGGGGCCATTGCTCAACTCAGGAGAACTGGTTACTGGCACCCAGGAAAAAGCTGAACTCCTGAACAACTACTTTGCCTTGGTCTTTCACCAGACCACGGGGAAAACATTGCCAGGAAGAGTACAGGATGAGCACAGTAGGAATAATCACCTTCCTACTATTGCCATAGAATTGCTGTATGACCAATTTAAAAAGTTAGACACATACAAGTGAGTGAGACCGGATGATCTTCATCCGAGAGTGCTGAAGGAGTTGGGTGAAGTCATTGCGGAACCCTTGGCAAAACTCTTCCACCCTGGCAAAACTCTTCCACAACTCGGGGTGCTCTGGAGAAGTCCCTGAGGACTGGAAGGGGGCCAATGCTGTGCCCATCCACAAGAAGGGCAGGAGGGAGGACCCGGATAACTATAGGCCACTCAATGAGCTTCAGTCAAGTGAAATGTCGAGGCATTGCAAATTAGCAACAGATGCACTAACAGAGCCAATTGGGAGTAGCTTGCATGACATGTGCCTATACTTTGCTGGACTTCAGATGTTGCAATTAATTCATGAGCCAAGAAAAGATTTCAGAAACTCCAGGTAAGAGTACAGAGGTCAGTGACAGAACTGAATTATTCAAATTTATCCAGAAACATTCTGGGTAACTCACTGGAGCAGAGTTAGCTCAGTGTTGACAGGTGCACCTTGGTCACTTCCTACTTCCCCAGAGGGCTTATTAATGGATCTCAGTGAGGTTATAAAGCATTTTCTTCAGCCCTTGGAGACGGAAAGCTTCGAGCCAACTCAGCTTCCCTCCCTCCAGAAACGCACTTCATACCAATATAAACGCACCCGCAAAAGGGTCTGGTCTTCAGAGTGGTTCCATGAAATGGGGTCTCCCAATATTTGTGTCTCTACAGCCCCAAATGTGCTCATTTCAAGGGAGTATTCCCTCCCATCCTTCAACAAAAGCTTACTCACCAACAACTCTGTCTCCAGTCTTCACTCCCATCTTCCTCATGGCTGCAGCATACAAAGCGACATCTTGTCTTAGTTCTTCAAAAGTAACTTTCAAGATTTCTTCTTTCCCTTCCTCTGAAGAAACAAGATTTACAAACAACAACCAATGAGAAACGGCACATGGCTATCAAGGAGGTAGCCTACTGCAAAGTTGCAGCCCTGGAAGAAAGAGAAAAGAGGAAGTATTGCAATGGAAAACTACATTCTGACAAATTATATTCCTGGCCCTTCAAAAGCAAAGCAAAAAACCCCAACCAAATAAACAAGCACAAACAGAACCAAAAATCACCCACTATCCTGTGCAAAAGCTTGTCTTTTTTAATTAAAAAAAAAAAAAAAAATACAGTATTAAATCATGGGGATTCCCTCAGCTGGCCATGAAGAGTGTTAAGTCGTTAAGGGTGGCTGTACATGAGCCAGGAGACTGCTCCAACGCACCGTAATTACAGCGCGTCGGAGCAGACTCGATTAACTGAGTCTGCTGGAGTGTGGCTATTACAGCGCTCCAGCCAGCCTCCGCGTCTCATGTATCAGCATCCCCACAGTTCAAAATGGTGGCGGAGGAACTTTAATTAAACATCGCTCAACGAGCACGTGGAGCCACTCTTCAAAATGGCACAGGGACGCTGATACACGAGACGCTCCGGGCGCTTTAATTAGAGCAGCTCTTGGAGCCATTTTAATTAAAGCACTCCCCCCTCTCCCCCACTTTTACATTTAGCACATGTAAAAATGTCCTAAATGTACGTGCATCTGTAAACAGACAAGATAGAGCCAAAAAATAAAAATAAAAAAAAAAAATCACTTGTAAGTGCTAGCAGGTGCCGATTTATGCTTTTATTATCCTAGGAAACAACTTCTAATTAGATCTATGGGGAAATCAAGCGTTTAAGGCAGGTTATTATTTAGGGCAGATCACTGGTGACTGGACACATTTGTAAGCCTGTTAATGAAGTCTCAGTGAAGACTTAAAATGTTATGACTTGTGGTATTCTAGGGCTGCAGAAGAGCACAGAAATTTCCTCTTCGCCCATCTCCAAAACAAATACTAAGCTAGGCCAGCTTCATCCCGGAGGAGAACTACAAGGCGATTTGAGGTTTTTTTATGCGGTGTCACAAGTTACATAAGCCTTTTATAAATCATTGGCTAAATAAAATAGAAGAAATATAAGAAATGTGGAGATGCAAACTCTGTATTGTTTGAGCACCTTCTCCCTCACAGTTGGTGTCCCCAGAATGGATGCACCTGCTCCATCTCCAAGGATAAGGATCTCTAACACCACTATATGTACCCCACGGAGGCAGCAGCTAATATACACAGCTTGCCAGGGATTCAACACCACTGTCCCAGCAGAGAAAGGGTGTTGCACCCTGCCAGGTTAGGGCCAGGACAAGTTTTGTTCTTCATCTTCAGTAGCCTTGCCCTCATATAAGTTTGGGGCCATATGGAGAAGGCAGACTCTCAAACATTGAGAGTCAACAGTATGAAATTAAACAAAAGCCAAAATGCCATTTTAAGTTCGCAAACTCTCCAGGGTAGGGGCAGTCCTTATTGCTCTGTTTTTAGAGCATGCTCTAGCATAGGACCATCCAACTGGTGGCCCATGGGCTGCATGTGGCCCCCATCCTCCCACTGTCCCTACTGCAGCAGCAGCCAGGGTCTTGGGGCCTGGCTTCTGTTGCATGCCCCTGCCCCACAACATGGGGCAGCAAGCAACTGCACAGCACAGCCTGCAGTCAGGGGAGCTGGCAGCCCGGAGCATCCATGTGGCGAGGTGCCACAGAGAAGCCCACCGGGAGATGCAGGTGAGGCAGGGTGGTATGCAGGGGAGCACCCACCTGTGAACCCATGCAATACATCAGGAGAGAGCACCCACCCGCACACACGTGGGGCATGCAATCTGGGGGGGCCCGTGGCCGTAGTCCCCATTTATGCTGTTCCCATGATGTACAGCCCCCAGCCACCATGAAGTTGGAGAGCCCTGCTCTAGCATTGCAGCACTACAGATCAGAAGCTGTGGGAAGAGGTGTAACGTGTGGCAAAGTGAAAGGGCTAAACTAAGTTCCCTGCCACCGTTCCCAGGCACCCACAACTCTCCCCGGCCTGGAGCCCTACACAGCCTCGCCGAGCTCTGTTCTGACCTAGCAGAGAGAAGTTTAAAAAAAAAATACATTGCAGCAAAGGGCTGGGAAAAAAGTTGCTGCAACTCTATACTGGTGGCAAAAATACTGAGGCATAATGTGCTCATGCACCTGCCAAGCTGAAAATACCAGTAGCGATTGTTCCAAATGTATAACTTCTATTACTAGGACTGAAAATATTTTAAAACTCCATCTTTTTTTCTGGTCAGGCCATACAATTTGTTGCATTCCTCTTGGGACACTTTAAGAAGGAAAAAAGAAGAAAATAAAAAAGGCAGGGTATCCCAGAGCCATCAATCCTGCTGCCTAAAGCCCCCCACTTCTTGTGAGGTATGGCTTGAAGCCACCCACAATTTAAGGGGAGTAGGAAAAAAACAAAGATAATTAAAGTTAGTTTTACATTTGTTTAGGGTTAGTTTTTGTGGTTCGCATTTAACTGGCAACCACTGCAGAGGGCTAGTTTAAAAGCAATTCTGCATCTCTTTTTTTCCTTTGAAATAGTAATACACAAAAAAGCATCCAATGGCCCTAGATATTTCAAGTAATGAGGCAGTCCTTCAAGACTGAAGCTAGATTTTCATTACGTACCTCTGTGAGACTTTACCAGTCACTTCTTCGAGCAACTGAATTAGGTTCGACTTTGCCACGCATTCTTGACTGGATGCAGATTATGAATATGATCAAAGGGATACGTTTAAAAAAAATATAAGAAACAAGATCTGGGGTACATCTAACCTCCACTGTAACAAAGAGCCATTCAGCAATGTATGCAATGAAGAGTTATTTGGACAGGTCTGAAAAAGGTGATCTCAGAGATGGGTGTACAAGCTCAAAAACCGGGGTGGTAGTAAAAAAGGTACAAGAAAACTCCCAATACTCCAATATATCTTACTTCTCTAAATAGGAGTCCTCAGACCCAGTGTAAACAAGCTTTCAGCATTCAGTTCATACGATGACAATGACTTTTTGTGAACACAAGGGATTTGGTGTAAAGCAGTCCGCAAGCATCTGTAGAGTTTGAATCAAGCCCCTGCTATAGGAAGAAGGCAAAAAAGGATAATGCAGGAAATCCTACCGCCTTTATTCTCCTGGACTTAAGACTTTCCCAGTACAATAGGATAGAGGTAGACTTTGATGTTCATGCGCACAAACAATGCTTTTGCCTTCCTGCAGAGCCCAAAAAGAGGTATTCAGGCACCCACAATAAATCACCCGCTATTACAGAAACAGACTAGGAGGATGGAGAATGAGGAGGTATCAGGAAACCGTTATGTAAAGCATTTATTCTAGAAAGTCCAATCATGCTGGACAACCAACTGTTCACTAAAAGGACTGATAACTAATGTGGACTAAACAGTGCAAGTGCTAGAAGGTGCTCAACAAAACTACAGCCCAACCCCACTGGGAGTAGGCTTTAAGCCTAATAAAAGGGCCAACTTGTGAACTTCCATCACAGTTTTTGATAAAGACTGAAGATGCTAAAGCAGTAACTGCAGACAGAGAGCATGGGGTTGGGGTTTTTTTTTTAAAGGAAGTGTGCATTACCACCAGTCACGGGTGTACACCACAGGTATTGTTATTACAAAGTAGTACTGAATTTGTTAATGAGCTTACACTGGAGGTTAAATTTGAACCTATGATAAATGGCAGTGTCAAAATGAATAGGGGGGATAGAAAGTTAAACAAAGGGGAAATGCTCTCGAGACGTGTACAATCAAGCAAGCATTAGAATGACAGCCCCGGAAAGAGGCTCCCAACAAGATGCCATTGGGAAAGAACAGAATGGTAGAAAGGTAATTGCCCGTCTACCTGACCTGCTTCTGATCTTCCCCCCAACCCAGAGATCCTGTGAGTAACAGCTACGCTGTCCATTTTGTATCGCTTGCCTCTCCTTTAGACCCAAGCTACTTTGCTTAGATTCAGTTTCAAGCTCAAATAAAACTATACTATGTGCACTCTCTCACATGGAGGTCCTCAGTCCAATAGTACATATCAAAGCCACCAAGAGGCAAACTCTATCGAGTGGCCTTATGTTAAATAAATCTGAGCAATATGAAAATAATTAAAATTACAAAAAGCAGTACTAGGTTCTCAGCACAGCAAAGCTTAAGGCCCCGCAGGGCTTGCTGCAGCCAACAGCCTGCTACCACAGGTCACATCTTCCCCATCCTCCAAAGTAGAGGGCACGAGTCAAACTTTCCAAAGCAGCCTACCTTCCTCATCTTTTCTTTGTGGAAAGGCATGTTTGACCAATCACGTTTGGTGTGTCCCAGTGCTTTCTGATCAACGGGGCTGTGTTGTGCTACTGGGTACAGCTTGTTTAAATTTTAAATGAAAAACAGGGATCTACTATCGAGAGTCACAGCTCATACTTACTTGCTGCATAGAGAGCGATTTTGTCATTTTCCTTGTGCTTCAGGAGGTTTTCCGCATAGTTCAGCCGACTACCCTTAAACCACTCTGGGACGTCCGCAATTCCCTTAGAGAGGTCCACCACCTGCAGGAATGATGCCAGACACCCTTAGAAAACAGCACCAGCACTTCCTCTTCAAAGTGCACCACAGACATCAGCTGGTTAATTCATACCCAGTGGCAGGGAAGCACCATTACTACCAGTCCACAGAAGGGCAAAGCCCAGATCCTATAAGCACCATTATTCCCAGTCCACAGAAGGGCAAAGCCCAGATCCTACAGTGGTGAAAGACAAGTGGCATGCCAATTGCCAGTACTAGGGGCAAGATCAAACTCTACAAACTCCATGGCAGGAAGTCTTGCATCCTAACTACCTACCTCCAAGATGCTCAGAAGTGAACAAAACTTCCTTGTGTATTTGAATACCTTATTGAACAGCAGAGTTAAATCTTTCTATAAAGTGTTTGGTTTGGAGGGGTCCCCCTCTACCTTCTAATTTCCTAGTTAAGAAGAAGCACCTCAAGACAGACAGATAACTGCTTATACTGTCTGGCCTAATTCCCCCCTTCCCCTTCGGTAAAGATCTACCACAAATCTCATCAAAATAATGACAGCATTTTCCATTCCCAGGCACATCCCAGCCTGGTGCCTTGCTGACGCCCCAGCCCACCAGCAGGCTGAGTTAGATTGCCGAGGCAGAAAAAGGTTGAGACGATCTGATGCCTTCCTCTAGCAGCACTTATTTAGAACAAGATCTAAGGGACACAATGGATAGTATCTGCAGGGTGCAGACTGCTTCCCCAAGGTAGGTAAGAAGAGAGGGATACTGTACTGGAAAAATAGAGCTCAATATAGAGCTCATTTAAACAAGTTACAGTGTGCGTATTTTTCCAAGCTATACAAGTGTAACATTAAACAGATTTAGGGCTCATTTAAAAAAAAAAAAAAGTGGCAGCAGGTTGTCCAGCTGTGAGTGTTACACTGAACAGCTAGTCGAACTGGTACAACTCCACATGGAGCAGGTTTTAGACTCCAAAAAACTGAGGAAACGGGGCAGGGAGTTACAGAGAGGTTTGCAAAATGGACTCCTGTGTTCTCTCTCTCCCCCTCCAAGTTCAAGGCCCTGACCAGCCAGCAAAAGCACTGCTGCTACAGGCCCCTGTTGCAGATGTAAAGCGGACCCTTACATGCCAAAGTCTGACATCATCTGCAAAAAGTCCCTGGAAAGAGAGGACTTAGGAAATCCACACCAAAAGAAGATCCATCCAGGGCTTGAAGTGTCCTGAAAGAATGAAAAATGGAACCAGGAGGCTGCAACAGGGCACCGTTTGTGCCTGCCACTTTTAAGGGCCTGAGACAGCAGCTGGCAGGTGCCTAATTAGGGAAGTTGTTTTAGATTCAGGGCTGCCCATATAAACAGGGCATTTTGCTGCTGAGAAAAGGCAACAACATCACCTGGCCGGAGGGCTGCTGGTATCACCTGGAGGTAAGGGAGGAGCTGTAGGGGATGGTCAGGAGGCTCCTGGTCCTGGGGACGACCTAAAACTGCACCCTGCCGGGAGCGGGTGGCCTGGTGGGAAAGCAGTTCAGGGAGCTATGCTGCCCAGGATGAAAGCGGATTAGGCCACCAGAATGGAGGGATCTTAGAGGGGTCCTGATCAGAGAAGTCTGGGGCCCAGCGTGGGACTGTTGAGAACATCTGGATGCCATCTGCGAGGCTTGGGCTGTGGTGTAAGTGAGGAACTTTTTGCAGATCTCGTTATACATTTTAGTAATCTCTCCTTATATAAAGGGATAGGGGAAAAAAGTCACTTAGGCTTATTCACTTCAGGCTAGTACACTGGGACTATTCAGGACACTGTTTTGATTTCAGCTGCCCAGCAGGGTACAGATTTCTTATTCTCCACATGGAAACATGCTCCTATGACCACATCAGCTTTTTCTGAAAGCTCAAATGATGCCCTCCAGTCCTACCACAGGGACTGTATAGGTACTGGAATGCCAGACTTCATTTGGTCAAATACAAAGCTGCCTTCTATTAAAAGCTTGACAAGATCCCAGATATAGTACTTCTCTTTCAGATTAGTGGTTTTAAGACTGGAAGTGCTCAGCATGCGTACGTTATCAGTGACAATTTGGAAGTTACAGTCCAAGCCTTTTTAAGAACAGCAAAGCTCACACGGATGCACTGTATTGCCCAAGGATGCATTTAGGGACACAGTTCAAAGAAGCCTCAGACGCCTTTCTGTTTTGTGCGCTTATAACTAACTGCAGTTCAGTATGTTAGGCTGTAGACAACTCACTGGCTGATGCAAAGGAACAGCTAAATGTTTCCCTTGCACCAACACTCGACTGCGCTGCGAAACACTTGAGGCCACTTTTGAGATGCAGACTTTCCTGCTGCTACACTTTACAACATTGATGTCCAAGTTGGGGTTGCCAAATATACAGACTCCCCTAAAGGAGTGCACTGGGGGTGATATGCAAGTCTCACACTGCTAGCATCCTTATTTATTTGCACTGGGCATTACTTACAAGCTGCAGTCACCGACCAGGATACCGTTGTCCTAGATATACAAATGCAGAGCAGAAATAGTTTCTACCCTAAAGAAGCTTGCAATGCAAGGAGCTGCTTTCACAAAAGCTAGCAGCATAGAGCCAAAGCAGCATCTCGGAAGCTGCTGCCAATGTAGTGACAGATCCCAACTGTTCCTAGCTTGGGTGAGGCGAGAAGGGCTGTGCAAGTCATCGTTTCTTCACCCTACATAGCCAGGACCAAGCACAGTAACAGTCTGCAAGTTCCTGAAGGAGGCAATGGACTGCTCACTGGGCATCTGCCCCCAATGGAGCACAGGCCATGCCCTGAAGAGATACACCAGGGGTGTCCAACCTTTTTGAATGTGGGGCCAGATCATGAACTTTTTATCACCCAGTGGGCCGGCAACCCAAACTGAACAGCCTCACTCTGGCAGGGGCGGGGGGTAGAAATAAGAGAGAAAGAAATCACTTGAGTGTCTTCTAACTTGTCGCATTCTCAGCTGCAATTTCTAGGCAGGGAAGAGTGTCCCAAGAGTTCCCCCACCCCAACCCTATATAACTGAGATCCTCCCAACCCCCCACCAGTAAAAATGGCAGGGGGTGGGGGCAGGAAATCCATAAGAGGTAGTCAGGTGGAAAGCAGCAAGAAAACCACCTATGGAGGGTGCTGGGAGTCTCCAGGGCTGGCAGGGGTACCAGCTGCAGCCCCAGCCCTGGTGCTGGGAGACTGGCGGTGGCACGGGCCACACCACTGGAGCAGATATGGGGGGCAGTGCCCACCCTGCAATCCACATGCTACCCAGGGTCTGGGGGGCTTCTGGGAGGTCTTATGGAGGGTTTCCCCCCCTCGCTCAGTATGAGCTCTATGTGCTGTGGGGTGGGGTTGATTTACCCACTCTTCAGTGTGTATGGGCCCCTGGGTGGGACTTTTGGGGGTCTCTGGGATGACCCCCCCCCAGCCCAGAGTGTCACCTCTCCCTGCAGTGCTGGGGCGGGGGGGGAG